CAGTTGCTCCAAAGCTTCCTCCGCAGCCAGTCGTGCCTTCAAAGTCCTCTTGAGGTTACGACAGGTTCGTTCAATCTCCTATTCCAATGGCATTAAATCTCCCGACTGGCTACGGGTCATGCACTACCTGCACGCAATCAGCAAAAGCAACCCATGAAGGCACACAGGTGGAAGAGAGAACATGCACTAAAGAAAATTCTAAAGTAACAGACTTTCACGTTTCTACAATAACCTAGAGTTTCCCGGCAACGGCGCTAAAACCTTGACACGCTATGACACAACACCAAACTACGACCAAGTATAATCGCAGTCCAGAAAAGCAGAATAGTGTTAAGTTTAATTTATCAACCCGGGTCTAGATCTACTGCCTACTCCGTGATTATCTATTATCTAGCGGGACTAAGTGAGTGAAATTGAATTCAAAGTAAAGCAGAAAGAAAGTAGTAAATTGTTCGGTTTCCTGAAGCAAGAGAAGAGTCACTAGGGAATGAGTCCCCCTAGCTTCTTAGTTAGGTCCAAGTTGTAATTTCCTTAGGTTGATTTACTGTTGTAAACTGTGGAAGATCCGACAGTAGCTTGGAATCTCTTAAGCTGACCAAGCCCTCTTAGACAGACTAACCGACAAACGACTAGACTTTACTGGGATAGAAAGCTAAGGCAATTAACATAGAAATCCACTACTGGAATTGGATTCCAGTACAAAGCAATGGATTGACTAACTATCGTATAAGCAATCCACTCCTATCAATTGAAGAAGCTCTAACAACCTAATCAGATTCTATCTATCTCAGGTTGCAGCAGAAATCAAGAGAATTTGATCAGGATTCAATTGACTCAATAAACACACTTCAATAGATTATAATCAAACAGTATATCAATCCAAAAGTAATTACAACTCAAATCCCTAACGCATTGAACTAGGGTTCTTCATACCCAAATGAGAGAAAGGTCTACTCCATAGAGAGAGAGGAAAACAGAATTCAAAGCAGTTATACTCATAAAGATGGGAATAATCTGCCTTAGGATGTCGATCTTCACTCCTGAGGATGCAATCTAGGCTTCAATGGTGAGAAATCCACTCCAATTTAGCTCATAGGGTTTGTTCTTCGCACTTTCTCTCTCTAGAACTCTGTTTTTGATCAAAAAGTCATATCTCTTTCTCCAAAACCATTAGGTTAAGAAGCAGCTCTCCTCGATTGCACGGCCAGACCGCACGGCCGTGCGGCCTCCTAGTCTGCCCGTGCACCCCAAAACCCGTTGTTTCAATTAATTCCGCCAGGGGAGTGTACGGCCCGTGCAATCTGAAAGCCTGGCCGTGCAGCTCTCTTGCAGAAATCATCACGGCCACCAATTCATTTCGCACGGCCGTGCGAGAAACAGGTTCAGGTCGTGCAGCTTCTCGGTAAATCCCACACGGTCAAGAAGGCAACCATGCACGGTCGTGCCCTTTCCCGCCCTGGCCGTGCAACTTGTAAGATCTCCCTCGCTCGTCCCGATTTTGCCCAATCGACCCCAAACTCGTGCTCAAACCTTCATTCACGCATTAGGACCTGAAATGTCATAAACCAGAACAACCTAGCGTAAAATCGGCTTAAAATCCGAGATCCGAGCTTCAAACATTATAAGAATGGCGGACAAAAACATGTGTAAATATTGAGTCATCAATAACCAAGATATATATGTATCAATAAAATGAGTTTGATAATTTTCACTTATTAAAGACGACATAATTATTTTTTCTCTAATGCAACTCATTTTCTCATTTTATTTTTTACATCATTATTTTTTTCTCTAACTTTGATGGACACTTAAAAAATTGAATTTACATTTTTTTAATCCAATTTCAATCTCTTTTAGTTTTCTTTCTATTTTTGGAAAAGAATTCATTACTTTTATACGGTCCGCATGAAGATAGAAAATATTTGATTAGATTCGTATGCATAACCTAAAAAGTAAGTCATCTCAATAATCAAGTTTCCTTATATAATGGGATACATGTAAAAATAGTTGTCGGACTAGCTCGACAACCAATCAGAGGTCTCAACCAAACCTAGTTAAAGTACAAATTCAAGCCAATCAAAGTACATAATTCATTATCATTGGAAGAACGGGAAGAAGACACGAATTGTTGAATATGCATCAGAAGGAGACGTCCCCTGAGCGCATCATATATTGAATACAACCATGATTGGAGAATCTCGTTATTTGGGTGTCATACGTGAAGATCTACATCGAGCTTTAAGCAGTTGCGGTCGAGGATCGTGATGAAGGAGGCGAATGTGGACGTCGGCAAGAATTTCGTGTGAGGGTTAGAGGAGTGTTTGGAGTGGTTTAGGATTTATTTTGAGTGTTTGGATGAGAACTTTCCGGCAACGATTAATGAGTGTTTGATTCTTGAGAGATGGGTTGGGAGGGTAATTTTGGATCTAATGGTGTGTACGGCGGCGAAGAGGAGAGAGACGGCAGAATATCGGCAAGGTTGAGAGGATACAGACGTGTAAATGATCGATTGGAGAGGGGAGGATGGTAACGACAGGACAGCGAGAGAGTGGAGAAATGAAAAAGATAAGGAAGGGTTTTGAGGAATGTTCATATATTGTTCCTTTTTAATTAAAAAGTGACGTGGATGCCATCTCTAATTTCGATGCTGAGCCACATACAAAGAATATATGACCGTTAATTGTGACGGTCAATTCAAAACACGGGCCAATATCAATTTCTTTAAAAAATTAGCCATAACTGTATTATTTAAAAAATATCAGGCCAAAATTGTCATTTGCATGAAACTTCGTGAAAGTAGGACATTATTCCAATATTATATATGCATAATCCATTTGATGATAATGATTCCAATCAATACAATTAAAATCACGTTTAAAAGCTTACGCTTTTACTCTTTTATGTAACCAAAACGCTTCTACGTAGAATCACAATTTTCATTTACAACTGTTAAAATCTATAATTTAAAACTTAATAACGTATTACTTTATATTTTTCCATAATCAAAACACTTTAACTAGAATCACAAAAGCGACATTGATTCCCCTTATACATCGATATGTGAAACATGCGCAAGAGTAGGCTAAATTGCAAATTTGGTCACTTGAATCACTAGTAAAGTTCACGTTAGCCACTAGAATTACTTTATTCCATCCGTAGTCACTTAAATTAGTTCAACCGTTCAAGTTTGGTCACTCTCCGTTAGTCTCCGTTAACTTTGGTTAATGTGGCAGTCAACTCTTATAGTTGACTGTTAACTAATTGACGTGGCAATTAAAAAATAAAAATAATCTTTAAAAATTCCACCTAATCATCACAAATAATAAAAATAATTGCAATGAAACTAAAAAAATTTGAAAAAACAAAATTTATTCCCTGACCAGCTCTAGTGTCTCACCGGCGGCGGGACGTTGCCAAAGTAGCAAATCCTCCGGGATCTTGTTCGCCTGCTCCTGCCGCACCCTCCTGGACCCGATCTTCCTCTTTGCCGCCCTCGGCCGCTCCATCCCCGCCATCATCTACTTCGTATCCCGCCTCTCCGGGTTCTTCTCCCCCATGCGAACCATGCGCCACAATCGTGATGCCGACGCCGCCATGACCAGGAAGCTCGTGGAGGAGGCCAGATCTGGGTCGTTGGAGTATAAGAGGAAATCGGGAAAAAGGGCAGGGCCCTTCGTCGTCTCCCCCAAATTTCTGGTCATATCGACGTTATTGAGCAAAGGTCCCTTATTTAACCATGAATGCCACTTGCTACCAGCGACCGAAATTCGCAGTAGCACCCACTTTTCCGCTCCCAGTTTCAGTGGGGGTTCTCGATTTCTCCTCCCAATCCCCTGCCAAGAACCCTGGAGAACGGGCATTGATTTCAGGTGTTGCATAGGGATTAAAACGACGGGTGCAGAGGACAAAAGATCGTGTGTAGTGGGTGGTTCATTCCCGTGGATCCATGGGGGCTGAAAATTTATTCACAAAGCATCGCCCCTAAGCTCATTCGAGTATGTTGAGAATGAAATGATTGGATGAAGGAACAAGATTTGATTTTTTTTTTTGGTAGGGAGCTTAATGTTTAACCCAACACTGATGGGTTTTTGACTTTTTTCTCGGGAAATTGCAAGGTTGGTCACTAGAAGTGTTAAAATATTCACGTTTGGTCACGTAAAGAATTTTATTCTATTCGTGGTCACTGGAAGTGCTTAACGTTTAACGATTGGTCACTCTCAGTTAGTCTCCATCCATCTCCTTTAACACCGTTAGTATTTTGATGACGTGGCTAACAGCAGTGTTGATTCACCCAATTTAAGCCTGCCACGTCATATAATTTGACCAGCCACGTAAGAAAAACCGGCACATAAGAAAACCCCACATAATTCATCCAAACCACATAACCCGACCCCTGACTCTCCTCTTCTTTTTCTTCCACATTTAAATCTCCATCTCAGTTTCTTTTTCTCCTTTCATTGCTGCCTCATCAATCATCATCATGGAAATTTCTATTGGATGAGGAATCAGACTCGGTCTCGCCTAGATTCAAGAAATTTCTTTCAACCCACTTCTCCTTATGACAATCTGAACAACCAAACCCATCTTGAATTGAGCGGAGAAGGCAATTTTTTACACTTTTGGCCAAAAACCAGAATATACCACGATTGGGAGCTGTTGAGGTTTTGCTCACGCTGGAGGGGGGAAGAATAAGGAACATAGCATACCATGGTTGGGGATCTGGTATGAGAATAAGGATCCAAAGAGGCGATCTTCTAACGATTCACCAATGGCGGTGGAGGATTTTGCAATAGATATTCTTCTTGGTCAGCCGTCGCCGCTTGCTTCTCATCTTCGCTTCTTTTAAAGCTTCTGAGAAACCCAGATACTGAAATCGTTCGATCTGTGTTTGTGGTGATTCGCCGTGCTCATCGGGATGGCATAGCATCCCCCGCGCTCATGTTCACCCCGTAAAATCTAGACTCATCGACGATGTCTTCGTACCAGATGTAGAGGTGGAAGGACAGTGGGTTCTGCAAATTTTGCTGGTGTTGCGATTCGCTAACTCTATGACAAATTCTAGCAATGTCTGGCCATGATTGATGAAGCGGCGAGCTGATGGTGGGAGAAAAGAGAGATTCGAGTGGATTTAGTGTTTTGAGTGGGGTGGAATAGAAGAAGAAGAAGAAGAAGAAGAAGAAGAAGAAGAAGAAGAAGAAGAAGAAGAAGAAGAAGAAGAAGAAGAGGCGCGATGAAGAAGAACTAGGGTGGCCTCTGACGAATTTTGCAGAACAGGGAAGAGGAATAGTCTGGGGGATGAAGGAGATGGATCGGGAAAATGGCCCCTCTGTTTCTTCAATTTTAATTTTATGGGTTATAGGTATAATATACCCCTCCACTATGACGTTTTATCAAACATGCCCCTCTACTATTTTTTACATCAAACATGCCCCTGTACTTTGAAAAAATTAATAAACATGCCCTTCTGTTAAGATTTCCATTGATAAAATCGTCAATCATGCCCCTGTACTTTGAAAAAATTATCAAACATGCCCTTCTGTTAAGATTTCCATTGATAAAATCGTCAATCATGGTTGAACCGAGATTTAGACGACCTGACATCGGCAAATGGGAGCGAAAATGTCAGTTTTTTTCTCCCGTTTTATTTCTCTGGGTCTCTTCAAAGTGAAATTATTTGACTATAAAAAAGAACAAAAAAAATTCTAAAGTGAAATTATTAGGGATATTTTAGACATTTGTGTCGCCCAAACCAAAGTTCGACCTTAGTTAACGGTTTTTGGATGAAAATTTAAACAAAAGGGCATGTTTGATCATTTTTACAAAGTACAAGGGCATGTTTGATGTAAAAAAATAGTATAAGGGCATGTTTGATAAAACGTCATAGTAGAGGGGCATATTATACCTATAACCCTAATTTTATTGGGTTGTTCTCGGGTCAGCTCGTTTCACAGGTTGGGTTGAGAAAAATTTGACATGGCGGGTCGGACCTCTTTTTTTCCGGTTAAATTAGGTTGATTGGGCAATTCTGTTAGCCATGTCAGCAGATAACGGACTTTGTTGACGGAGACGGACGGAGACTAACAGAGAGTGACCAATCGTGAAACGTTAAGTACTTTCAGTGACCACGAATTGAATAAAATTCTTTTAGTGACCAAACGTGAATATTTTAGCACTTTCAGTGACCAACCTTGCAATTTACCCTTTTTTCTCTTTTGTTCCTTCATGGTTTCCAACGATGGATGATTGTTGCAGTTCCAGCAGGAATTTATGATAATCTTTTGGGTTTGCAAAGAAAAGAAGTAAACAGAAAATAAAATATTTATTAAATTTTATAATACTTAAGTGGAAAATAAAAAATAATTATTTATTATTATTTTTTTTAATTGTCACGTCACTCACTTAACAGTCAACAATAAGAGTTAACCGCTACATCGACAAAAGTTAACAGAAACTAACGATCAGTGACCAAATTTGAACTGTTAATCTAATTTAAGTGACTACATATGGAATAAATTAATTATAATGACAAACTTGCAATTTAGCCCGCAAAAGTATAAACATGTTCCGCATTCATCACAAGATTACAATTTACAACAGCGTACAGCCGTACACAAATCCTCGCCGGGCGACAGCGGATCCCAAAACGTCGAACGGACACCAGGGGTATGATCGTCATTTCAGCCTCACCTTTTCTTTTGCTTCTCAGTCGTCTAATCTACAATCCATCCTTTCCTTTCGACTTTCGTTTGTCCTCTCCTCTCCCACAGCTACAGCCTACAAGCAACAATCCCCCATTCAATATTCTTTGACAAGTAATCTCAGGGCATTCCATACCTCATGGCGACTCTCTCCGCTTACAGCTCTCCCGCCGCCTGGCCCAACGAGAATCCTAATCCAGCAGTCCTCCTTCAGCAGAGCGCCACCGGGGAAGAACAACAGCTCGATAATCCCCAGTCTTACGATTCCCTTTCTTCAATTATGCCCCAGGAAAATCACCAACTACCTCCACTCGCTCAGTCGCCTTCGAACCCTAGCCCCCTTACCAATTACAGCAGTCCAATTTCTTCACCGCCGGAATCCTCGTCCCCACTGCCGTCCGTTGCCCTCCTACATCTCTCCTTCAACCAGGACTCCGGATGCTTCGCCGTGGGTACCGACCACGGGTTCCGGATCTACAACTGCGACCCCTTCCGGGAGATATTCCGCCGTGACTTCGATCGCCGTGGCGGCGGAATCGGAGCGGTGGAGATGCTTTTCCGTTGTAATATTCTAGCTCTCGTTGGTGGTGGGGCCGACCCGCAGTACCCACCCAATAAGGTTATGATCTGGGATGATCACCAGAGCCGTTGCATTGGCGAGCTCTCCTTTAGGTCCGAGGTTCGATCTGTGAAGCTTCGGCGGGATAGGATCATCGTCGTTTTGGAGCAGAAGATTTTTGTGTATAATTTTTCGGATTTGAAGCTGTTGCATCAGATTGAGACGATCGCCAACCCTAAAGGGCTTTGTGCGGTGTCACATGGGGCGGGTTCGCTTGTCTTGGTCTGCCCGGGCTTGCAGAAGGGTCAAGTTCGGGTTGAGCATTATGCCTCAAAGCGGACAAAGTTCATTATGGCGCACGACTCCAGGATTGCTTGTTTTGCTATCACGCAGGATGGCCAGTTGCTTGCTACTAGTAGCACTAAGGGTACCCTCGTAAGGATTTTCAGTACATCGGACGGCAGTCTTCTTCAAGAGGTATTTTCATGTTTAATACATGGTTCCCTACCTTACTAGATGATTGTATGAGCGACTGGATTGGTGAATTGCAGTGTGATTATATGGCTACTAAGTGAGTATGAGATTCTTAGTAAATGTTGTGTGGTGATACGGCTGCTAATTGAGTATAAGATTCTTAAGTTTACTTTCGTGGCAATTTGTGTGTGATATACGCTTGTGTTGAGGTTATTTTAAGAACCATGATTGTCTTCTTAGCTATGGCAAGAAAGCTCCTGTCAGAAAACCATAGCTTTGTAAGATTATACTGAAGTGCATGTTTCGCTGAACTGCTAGGTGTCCAGTAAATGACTGCAAGGTAAATGGGGTAAAAATTCGAACTTTGTACCTGGCCTTCCTCCCTCCCTCCCACCCTCACCAACCAATTATTCTGGGTTTCTTTGTGCTTTCTTGCTTCTGAAATTCATAAGCTAGATTGTTGTGTGCATCAGTTAGAGTGACTAAATAAAACTTGAGCTTTTATTTGGATTCTCCTTTCGGGTTTCATTTCGTCATTGATTTACTCCCACATTCTCTGCTGTGGGGTAATTGAATTTGTTTCAACCTTGCTGTGTTTAGGCTACTGTGAGTACTGTCACGTCTCACTTGCTGCAGATATATCTTCGTTTATTACTTGTGGAGCCATTTCTCCCCTCTCTTCTCTTGTTGGTTAGTTTAGTTGATGGTGAGTCATTTTCGTGTTCACGGTGGAAATTGAAGCCTACTCAAAACAATGCCTGTTAATCCTCTAATGTAGTACAATTTTACTGTATTGCTGAAAGATCCAACACCCTGAGGGATTTTAAAGCTCGAATCAATGTGGATTTGCAAGTGCTCTTTGAATCAACCCATTTTTGTACTCATTTTTGGTATACTAAGTGGATTATATTTGGAATATACATGACTGAACTATCCCGGGTATCTATAATCAGTTTCTCTTTCAGATGGTCACATTTTTCTACTATATTTTCCTTGTATGCTTAGCAAAGCTGTGTTCTTCATGTTGGATGCAGGAAACATACTCTAGATGAGTTTATGCTAAGTTTGATCAAGTATTGAATCTAATTTCTCATTCTTAGACTGGAATTCTAGAGTATTGTTTTATATTTACCATTCTACGCCCTGAATTCTTTCGATGGATTTATTGAACCTTGTTTCTCAATGTATGGATTATAATCTGTGAAGATGTGGAGGGGGGGCTTAAGGTGTTGGAGGTTGTTTATTCATCTATTAAATTAATAGTCATCTATCTAAATTCACTTTGTACTTTTCCTCAACCTCTGAGTGGAAATAAACACACCTGTTAGCTTAGTTTGGAAATGCTTAGCTTGATTTGCTTGAGATGAAAGTACCCGGATGCCCATATCTATACTAATGTCCTTGGTCGGCTCTATGCATTCTGGTCGGTTAGTTACTTTGGGAGCTCTATATGCCATTACATAATCTTGTCCTCGTTTTAGCATTGCACTTCAGAACTGAGTCAATGTCTGAACGTAGGTGAGGAGGGGTGCAGACAGAGCAGAGATATACAGCTTAGCATTCTCTTCTACTGCACAATGGCTAGCCGTTTCTAGTGATAAAGGAACAGTGCACGTTTTCAGCCTTAAGTTGAATCCTGAGGCAAAAATGAACGACATATCACGAACCACAACTGATTCAAATCATGCTGCTGGCTCACCTGGTTCATCCTTGTCCTTCTTCAAAGGTATTCCCTCCCTGGCACTGGATTTTCCCCCTGCGTAGTCTCTTTGAATATATGGTACCCTTGATCTCTCTGAGCTGCCCTTACAGAATATGAGAACCCATGAGTCTACCTATCTTCCGCAGTAATATAATAGTTGAGATATGTTTTGACGGCATATTAATCTCATCAAAGCTTCCGCATGCAGGTGTTTTACCAAAGTATTTCAGCTCGGAGTGGTCGGTTGCTCAGTTTAGGTTACTGGAAGGCTCACAGTACGTTGTTGCCTTTGGTCACCAGAAGAACACGGTGGTCATTCTCGGGTTCGATGGAAGGTATCTTTGATTCCGGTTTGATTCCGGAGTGAATGGGGTTTCTGTTGCTCCTGTGATAAATTTTATTGCGTCAAGTAATATGGACACAACCGTGGGCTAATTGAACGTGTTTTGTTTCTGGGATGGCTCACTGCAGCTTCTATAGGTGTCAGTTCGACCCTGTGAACGGTGGAGAGATGACACAGCTAGAACATCACAACTTTCTGAAGCCAGATGGTAGCTCCTGAAGGAGGGAAAGTTTCAGGCTTGTACTTGTTGCTGGATGTCTATATAGTATATATTCTTCCTCTTTTTTTCTTTTTCACGTTGTTACCGCGTTGTGTTCGGTGGGCAGATGGGTACATGTTGTACATATGTAAATGTATCATGTAAGTTATGTTGGAGGCTAAAAGGAAAGTAACAGGGAAGGAATGAGCTAAATTAGCGTCCTGTCCTGTCCGTCCCTTGAAAAAATTTGATATTGGTCACTCGAATTACTAAAATATGTCATATTTACCAGTGTCCATGAAACCGTACCGTACTGACGGTTCAACCACAAAATATCAACATTGGAGGCTAAACTGGTAGGCGATATTTAACGGTTAAACTACGTTTAAACCACGGTTTTACCATAAAACACTCTAATACTGACTTTTTCAGTACGGTCTCTGGTACGGTTTCATGGACCATGATATTTAGTCACTCTTCGTTATTGTCCGTCCAACTCCGTTAATGAAATCCGTAATGTGCTGACGTGGTTAATGGGAGTACCTAATCAACACCGTTTTGGGTCGAAAATAATCAAACCCGACCCGCCACGTCACTAAACCCACCATGTCATACACCCAACCCGACCAAGAACCAAACCCTAACCCACTTATCAAAACAAAATTGGAAAATCATCGGGTTAGTTTCCCCCTCCCAACAGACAACGAAACCCTCAAACTTGTAGAGAAGGGGACCTTTGTTCCAATTCCTCAATCACCGCCCTACTTGCTGCTTTCTCCAACTTCCCATCTTAACCCCTTCCACCGAGAACTCTCATGTCACGCCACTGTTCCCAACCTTGCCACAATGAGTGGATGCACTTCAAAGCCTACCAAGTCTAACCCTTACTCCCCCAAGAACGACCGTCAATTCCAAGCTCTAGATGATCAACGGTCGTCAGCACTATCTCCGCTTCTTATTGCAACCCGAATGCCTCGCACGCGCTGCTTTCAACGACTTCGAGCTCCGTGGGGCACTGCTGCTTCAGATCCGTGATACCATGGTGGTGCACGAACCCGACCCGCCGCTTCCTTCGACTACCATTGGGAGGTTGTACCCATCGACGAGGCTGACGTCGTAAAAGTCCTGACCGCCGGTTCCAAGGGTGAACTCGGCTAGCGTGGCCGGCAGGGCGGCACCGAGACTGTTGCACTCGACGAGACCCGACCCGTAGTTGCCGTGTGCGGCAGGAGGAAACTGACGCCGGCGCTATGGGGGAATTGATTTAGGGTTTCGTCAACTGCTGCAATGAGGGAATGTGACGCCGGCGCGCGACGAAGAAGAAGAAGTACAGAAGGAGGATTTGAGGGTTTCGCTGTCTGCTAGAAACTAATCCTACGATTTTCCAATTTTGTTTTGATAAGTGGGTTAGGGTTTAGTTCTCGATCGGGTTGGGTTGGGTGTATTACATGGCGGGTTTAGTGACGTGGCGGGTCGGGTTTGGGGGGAAATTAGGCACGTGACAATATTAGTCAATTTTTGTGAATACATTCAATTAGTTTATAATTTTAATATTGTCTTCATTGATGCTTACTTGAGCTTCCCACAAGTTTACGTGTTAGGGTTGCATTCATACTTCGTCTCAAATCGGTTTAACCTATGATGCATAAGAGACGTGCTTTGATCATAACGTGTGTGACTTCTCTGACATTGTTTTACAAAGGCATTCTCATAGCAGGGGTTCGGTAGTCACGTCCACTAAAGAACTCTAAGATCATTCATCCACCATTTATCTGCCAATTGACGCTACCCAGTCTAGCTCTAAAATTCTCACCTAGTGTCAACTCAGTTGTAGGCTAGCAGGGAAGAGTTGGACGATTTACCAAGCATAATTAAGCATAAATGAAGCATATATTCACTAAAGCAAACATATCCATTCATAAATCCTAACACAATTACATCTACATTTTAAACCTAAATCTAGGGTTTGGGGGACAAAGCCTCAAAGTACCTTGAGAATTACTCCATGAAGAGAGAGAGAAGAGACATACAAAGATGGGAAGAAAACTTGAAGAAGGGTGTTCAATTGCTGGAAATCCTCCTCCAAAGCTCTCCTCCTCTTCTCTTCTCCAAGCTTCTACTTCTCTCTCTAACCTCGCTCTAGAACAAAAAATCTGCCAAAAGCTATCTATTCAAGGGGAGTCCCCTATTTATAGAATTCTGCAGACACGAGCAAGTTCACTGGCACGGGGCAGAAGATATTGACCATGATATTTGGAGGAGATGTTGCGATCTTGAGGGTTATGGAATTCTGAGGACAGGGGTAAGTTCGCGGGCAAGGAGCATAAGGTCGAGGCCATGATCTTTGGGGGAGAGGCCGCGATCTTGGCTTTAGTGACTTTGGTCTTGTTTTTCTTTAGAGATCGCGGCCTGACTTCACAGTCGTGATTCGTGAGTGAAGGCCACAATCTTTCTCGTGGGCTCGGATGAAGAGAGTTGTGAGTCGACTATCAAGACTTTTTGTTCCTTCCTTGAAGGCTCCATTTCCAAGTTTGCGTCCGAAACTCCATAGTTCGCGGTCGTGATCTTAGCACTGAAGGCTAGGATGTTGGTGCTCTAGTTCACGCCCTAATTTCATGGACATGATCTTGACACTGAAGGTTGTGATCTAGGCTCCTTCAGTTGTGAACTCCAATTTGACCCCTTTTTCTACACATTAACCCCTTTTTCTCCCCTTTTTCGCTTGTAACGTCGAATTCAACCTAGAATAACATGATAGAACAAAAGGAAGCGATCTAGACTACAAATGACAATTTATAAATCGAATCATGCTCAAAATGAGAATAAAAATATCAAATAAATGAAGGCTAAATAACACATTTTTGGGTATTATCAACTGCAATGTGTGACTGCAATTTACTCATTAGTTGATTAGTACATAATAAAAATTGTGGGACTAAAGCATGCACAAAAACTTTAATGAATGTAGACGTAATTATAATTATCATCAATAATTAATTTAATTGTAACTAATAATTAATAAATAAGTGTGTACACCAAATATATAAAATATATGAAACTCTCTAAAGGATTCATTTTGAAGGAAGCAAGCAAGATACATTCTCGAGAAATTTAAATCAAATTAAACCAATCTATGTATGGATTGAAACAATTTGGACGAATGTAATACAATCGTCATAGTTAATATTTGATGAAAGAAGGATACAAAAATGGCTTTATTTGTCCATGTGTTTTCATAAAGAGATTGGCACTGAATTTGTTATATCTCAGTCTATTTTGATGACATAAACATCATTAAAACTTCCAAAGAGCTTCCAAAAGCAGTTGATTGCTTGAAGAAAGAGTTTGAAATGATATATTTAGGAAAAACGAAGTTGTGCTTTGGATTAGAGATTGAACATTTTGAAGGATGACATATTTTTCCATAAAAAATGATATGTTGAAAAGGTTCTTAAGAAACTTTATATGGAGAAATCAAATCCATCGAGAAGCCCAATGGTTGTAAGGTCACTTGATGTGAAAAGATATCTATTTAGACCTCTAGAAAGCAATGAAGAACTACTCAACCATGTAGTATCATATATTAGTGCGATAGGGAGTATTAATGTATTAAGCCAGTCACACACGACCCGGTATTATCATATGTTGTGAATATATTGACAAGATACACCTCTTCTCCCACTAGAAGATATTGGAATGGAGCTTTGTTACCTTGGAGGAACAATGGATTGAGCTTGTTCTATTCGGGTGAATTGAAGATGGATTTTGTAGGATATGCAAAAGAAGGATATCTCTTTGATCCCCAAAATGTTAGATCACAAAGAGGATATTTGTTTACTTGTGGTACAGTCATTTCATGGTGATTCACAAAAACAAACTATAACAACCACATAATCTAGTCATGCAGAAATTTTAGTAACTCACGAGGCATGTTGTGAATGTGTTTGGCTAAGATCTGCAATTCAGCATATCAGAGATACTTGTTGACTATCTCTAGGAAAAACTATCTCGACGATCCTGTATGATGATAATGAGGGATGTATTGTTCAATTAGAGGAATGATACATTAAAGGAGATAGAAAAAAACATATCCACATAAGTTCTTTTTCACTCATGATCTTCAAAAGATTGGTGAAATAATTAATCAAAAAGTTTGTTCAAGAGAGACTCTAGCATATTTATCCACTCAGTTACTTGCAATGACTTACCTCGTTAACATCTAACTTAAGTAATAAAATTTAACACAAAGTTATGAAAGACTTACCTCGTTTGCCCAAGCTATGTCGGTTCAGTGTTAACCATGTGCCCAAAGCATTTTTGAATCGTTCGGAGCGGGATTAATTATTATAGTTAGTTGTGTCATTGCATAAGTATCAATGATCTTTGGAGTTTAAAACACATAAAAATTAATTTGATTAAAATAATCAATTAAAAATTAGTTATAAAAAGCTCGCCGCCGCCGATGAGCAATACATAAGGTGGTGGCGGCCATCATGACCTCGTCGAGCTCCTCGATATTGGACCCTCCTTCATACGACGATTGCTTCCTCATCACCACTATAATCATGGTCGGAATCCACCATTAACTCTTGACGAGAACTTACTTTGGTCAGAGAATACGAATCTAACTGCAAAAGACGAAGGAAGAGGAGAGACGCGTGTTGGGTCAAACGGGAGGAACAGAAGAGTATGGTTGTCTTCGGTGAAGGGCTCTAGTTTTGGAAGGGAGGATGATTTCTCACCTGGATCTAGATTATGAAGGATATATGTGCGGAGTCTCTCACACCGAGTTGTTTTTTATGAGATGCGCAGCGCATGTCGAGCTACACATCACTAGTTTTGCTCGTTATGCGTGACCACACACATACTGAGTTAAACTTTCTTACTTTTGCTCAGTATGCACGTCGCCGAGCACTTTGGTCTCTCTATCACGATATTAGTGTAAATATATTCTATCACTTTATGTATGGTAATTTTCTATTACCCCTATATTTTGATAATTTGTTCGGCATTGTGAATAACCACAAACCTATCTCTTGGGTTTTTCTTCTAATTAGTTATTGTTTTGTAGTGTTGTTTTCATGGAGTTTCAAATTTGTTAGGGTTGTAGGGATCCTCACTGTTTGGGTCTAGTGTGTATTTTGAGTTGTTTTAATATTTTTGGACACATTGGATATGATGAGTGGGTTATTCTTGTTCCTTGTGATTTTGTATAGTAGTCTTACTTTTTTGTTGAAAAAAGAGCCTTTTATGGAATCTAAATAAGGGAGAATAGTGCATTACAATATTGGAACACTAATATCAATGATAAGTTACCAATCTATCGGGGACAAACTCATCATAGCTTGATGAGCCACCCAATCAGCAAAAGCATTAAGGCAACGAGGTAGACACTCAACACAGATCGACGAAGCTTAATGGGGGATAGGAAGTATACAGGCAAGTGTAGCTCAATATTTCCATGTCCAAAGGAAGGGTTTCTGCTTCAATGCAATATCTAGTACCTGACTATTTGCTTGTAAGCAGGTAGGGAACACCTCCTTAGCTGATAACAATATTGCATTAGTGCCGACAAAGGCTTCCACTTAAAGTGCGTAAGAATAAAGGATGGTCTAAGTCTTGTTGTCATACACTTGACCATGGGGGTTAGAAATAATAATCCCATAAGCTGTCGTCCCTGAAATAGAATCAAAAGAACCATCACAATGCACTAAACATCAGAAAATGTGTGGCGGTGATGAGGAGTTTGATCGGGATCCCGTAGGCTGAGAGATAATTGGGCTTTAATATGTGATTAAATTATAAAAATTTAATGTTATGACTACTCTATTACACTTAATCAAGTCAAGAATATCTTGATTAAGTGATGTATCATAAGGTTTGCCTCCAAGATCATTGTCCATGGGCCATCGAATCCATTGCTACTTTAAAAAATTATCTACTATTTAATCGATCAATTGGTGGGTTACGCTACACAATTAAAAGAAAACTAAATTGCAATAGTAAACTTATCAAGAGAATTAAGGTACTTGGACTCGGTCTCCTATGAATTCAATGGAATGAAATTATTCGTGTAATTCTCCTTCTTTTTGTGATCCCAGAATCTATATAGCTAGTATCCAAGTCAGTGGTCATGCACTTAGGATGCACTCCTTTGTCACTACTTGGCTCAATGGTCATGAAATCAACCTATCCCTAGAGCACTACGCATAGATTCTCAGTTTCGATAAAGACCCAAAGGCATATGAGACTTCAATTTAATGGTCGTGCAATTAAAATCTCGTACTATGTGATGTGGGTTCTAGCCTTCACCTAATCAGATGGTCTCTAACTTAGGTTAAAAACAAGGTAATAAATCACTTGGTCTAAAGCAAGAGATGACATAATCATAAACAGTGAATAGGGTTCATAAGTCAACGATCCCAACTACAGGAGCTAGCATTAAACTTACCCAAATACAAAAGAATCATTGCATGAAAGGTAGAGGAAGTAAACAAGATGGGGAAGAGGGGGACATCATCTTCTTAGCTTCAGTCGGGAAAAGAACTCCAAGATCCAAAATTTGAAGGCCCATTATTCTTCTTCTTCTCCAAACTCCCTCACCCCCAAAGGGAAAGCCTCACTCTTTTTCTCTCAAGGTTGTGCTGAGAAATTTCCAAAAAGTCACCAAAATCCCCAAAACATCCTCTCATAGTCATAGTTGGCGAACTATGTATATAGAGCAGAGGAGTTCTGCTTAGTTCACGGACAGAGTTCACGGTAGGTCACAGTAGTGAACTAAATATAAGCCAATTGAACTTTGATGCGGCGTTGTTCTGCCCTAAGAAGTTAGAGATCACATATTCATGGTCATAATCTTTTCTTATGGGTGTGAACTCTATGTCGCGGTTTGAATTTCGTACCTGCAAAGTTGTCCATGAGATCCTTTGTTTCTTCTGGCTCCGTTAACTTCCCTTTTGCTCCTCCCTATACTTTTTCCCAAACTTTGCTTCAAGTTCACATAAACCCTCACATTACCTAAATCCTATGCATACCAAATATGAGACATTTCTAGACTAAAATGCAACAATTTAAGGATCAATTATGCTAAAAGGTCGCAAAAACAGGTAAAACTGGAAATCCCCTGACACCAATTTTAGATTTTATCGAATCTCCCACACTTCGTTTTCTTGTCCTTGTGAAAATATGTGATGAAATGTTCGACTCGAAGCCCCTAAATCTAACCACTATACGTGAATCATTGGAGGATGAGCACACGTGGCTTGAGATATCTCAACTATCCATGACCATGCTTACTCGGAAAATCCTGAACATAATATTATTAGTGTATATAGGAGGATCAATCGCTCTCGCAGTTCCTTTTTGCACCTTCCTAACAACCTTTATTCCATTTCGGTACATTTTAGGGTTTTAGGAACTTAAAAACTTTTTTGTATTTCTTACTGGCCAAGTAGTGGTTCTATGCTTAATGCTATATGTCCCCCTAACTCTATCTCACTCCACGTGGAGGAGCCACTATGTTGGGATTATCAACCTTTGAATGACATCTAAACTCTAAGCGGGGTCCCCAAGCACATCACCTCAGACATGGCATTCCGATTTGAAGGAATTGTATGCATGATTTGCCCTTATTTGGTCATGCGGGGACCTCCTTAGAGTCTCATGCATACAACTACTATGGAGTGGTGAAGGTCTCCTTAAATTCGTACGTTCACACGCATTTTATGCATCTTGTAGACCCCATTTCTTAATTGTATGAATTCCACAATTATTATGCTTTGGGCATTACGGATCAATTTCGTGTTATATTTGATTAAATGTTGATATATTAGGATTTAGCATGATGTTTACCAAGTTTTTGGCTCATAATTTGCTCATTCTCATCCTATTCTAGACTAGATTGTATTTTTTCCCCCAATATCAGGTCCTAGCATGACTAGGGAGGCGTGTGCCAAGTTTCAAGCCATTTGGAGGCTGTTTGGAGGGTGCAAAGAGGGGGGATCAACTTAGCCGGCGGGCAGCTCGCTGTCAGCAGGGAAAGGGGGAGTTCATGGTCACTACAAAAAGATCCCATACGTGAACTCTAGGCCATGAAATATGACATGTGCACGTTCTTATAAATATAAAGTGTTGTTTTGACTAAGGGGTGCATCCTAGAGAGAGAAACATAGCATGAGAAGAAGTGGGTGAGAGTGACGAGCTTGGAGAGGTTTTGAGTATTCTTCCTCATTATAACCCCAACTCTTCCTAAGATTCAACCCTAAGAAACAATCTACCTCTAGTGATCTCCCTCGTACTTATTTTTGTTTCTTTGTATAGTTAGTTTAATTCACACTTAAACCCTTCCATCTTTGTTTGGCTAGATATTGATCAAGGCCAAGAGTAGTTGTAACCTAAAGGCCCTACGGAATAAGACCTCGGTCACCACTACACTAATCCAGGGCTTGTCCTGGACTGGGTAGTATTGTTGACGGACCGAGCTACGAATTGTAAAGCTTGATTCCAACGAACCAAGTTTTTGGCTCCATTGTCGAGGAAACAATTAGGTTATTATGAAAGGCTTAGAACTACTAGTTTAGTCTTGTGTTTCTTTTTATTCTTCTTCCTCTTTTTAGTGTTAAGTTGTGTTTGTATTGGTTCTTTGTGTGAATTACCTTGTGATTTTCAATTGTGCATGTTACATCGCTCTTTTTCTCGAAGTATGGTTTGTGTTTGTTTGATCTTTTTGGCTTCTGTTTTGTTTTAGTGTATTTTTAGTTGTTGAAACATGGACCCTTATGCAACAAAGTGTATCAACCATCTCCGGAATAGTGTACCCCGAAATTTGAAGCAGGAGTGGAGGTCAAGGATCCGAGTTTTAAAAAGAACCTCCTCTCTATGCTCACCAATCATAACCCCCCCCCCCCCCCCCCCCCCCCCCCCCCCAACTACCAAATTCCCCACTGCTTCGTTAAGTACAACCCCCACCAACGTTAGGCAAATCCAAGTTGGAGATTTCCATGAAGCACAACTAGCTAGCTAGACCAGCTGCAAGTTGCAACACCATCACTATAAAAACAAAACATAAAATAATCAGCCGCAACACCATATTTCAAGTAACCAATTATATGAAGAGGGTTGTTATTAGCCGCCCGAGAAATTATCACTTGCCACCCACAATTTTGAAGTAAATAACGATTTGCCCCTTCTTTGATAACCCTCCCACCAACCACTACTCAACCTCCGTTGGCTTCCCTCCCCTGTCGGAAGATTGATGCCCAGCACTATAATTAGTTTCCCTTCCCTAATTAATGTCACTAAAAAACAATTTGTCAATAATTATTATTAATTAATTTTCCTATAAACCTCAATCTTTCCCCTTTCCCCACGTTTGACTACAAATTATCTTCATCTAAACAATTTCTATAATTTATTGTTCATAAAATAAAAATAAAAACAAGTTAGCGACGACAACTGTCCGAAGCCGAGTTTTGGAGCCGAGCGACTAGTCTGAAGGTTTGGGTTGTGGACGACTGCGATTGGGTGGAGGGGGTTGTGGTCGATCTGAGGGGAGGTTTGTTCTCCCCGGCGAATATGCCGACAAGGAAGGTTGTCGGAGGTTTTGTTTGGTGAGAGTTTTCTAAGGTAAGGGCAAATGTGTTTTTTGCTTCAAAATTGTGGGAGGCAAATAGTAATTTATCGGACTGCAAAAAATAGCGATTCATATAACTGAATCGCTTAAAGGCTAAAGCTACATCTCTGTACAAAAAAATCGAAGTAAAAATATCGCTAAGTAGGAAAAGCTACAAAATTGGATTCCACCATCTAGTTCTCATTGCACTGTTAGTCTTTGAAGATGATCCAGGAAGACCTCGAAGCTCACATCATCTGTAAATAAGATGTCTCCGCCCAGGAGAGGTGCGTCTGTGTTATATGTGGCAGATGGATTCAGCTTAGCCAGAAGAAACCGTGCCTGATCCATGAAAGGAAAGGAAAGGAAAGCTGTCAGGTATACCACAACAGCAAAAATATGAAAAGCCATTCTTTCAGCGTCCGTTGGAGACACTAACCTGTGAACCATGCTGATCACAAACAACTAAACGAGGAACCGGAAACCTTTGCGTGACGATGCTATCTGCATCATCAGAAGGAGCACGTAGCAGTTGCGCAAACGCCTGCAGAGCGTGTAGTTGACAGAAATCAGTCGCAGGACGCAATATTACAACACCTAACAGTAAAGATAATATGGAGTCCAGTAAAATGCTGCATGTATACACTTACAAGTAGACAAAATTACAGAAGCATGAAGGTTGCTGGCCAGAAAAGCACGTCTTGTATTTTACGTCATCGAAGAAGGTATTTAGCACAGTAGAATTCTAGAGGATAACACTGATAAAACTATGTGTTCGAGGACTAGTCAACTGAAGCAAGTAGTTGAAGCAAAGGTGGGTACCGTTTAAACCAGGTAAATGACTAGGTCTAGGTGGACACACAATCTTGTTGACTTTTTATGGTAGATTGAATTACTAGGCTATGTGAGCAAATTACCAAAAGGATGCCGCACGGAGTTCTATAAGAAAGGGTAGAATTGGAAGAGTGGAAAATACGAAGCTGGGGTCGGAAAATTACATTCTGAAGGTAAATTTTGGAAGATGTATTTGGCTGAGAAGTTTGTTATTTAATCAACTGGAAACATCCAACTAGTACCGTAGTAAGTGTCAATTTTAAATGGAAGTATAGAAAAGGGGCTGTCATCTTCTTAAAAATAGAGTACCTGGTGCTCTTGTTGACTATGGTAACCCGCTTTTCGCCACTGAGCAATAGTTGCTCCATGGAAAACAACCACAGTGAAGTAAGAGTCCAATAGAAGGATCCTATCACCTGCAATAGCCGCCACGTCCAAAAGAGCAGGTTCGGGTGCCGAGTGAAATGAGTACGAGATTAAGGAAGGCTGAATCATCAAAATTGAATTGGCTACATTCTCTCTGTTCAATATCATTCTGAAATACGCTGTCTCATCAGGGCTATTGTTGAAGACCTGCAGCAATCAATCATATGAAATCAGTTCATAAACAGGGGCTTCATTTCAACTTTTCACAGTTAATCATCTTGCTGATGCATGCACCAAGTATTGATACCTGGACAAACTGGGAACGCCGTAAATGGAACATAAACTGAGGAAATATTGAGAGCCGTGGAGATAGACTGAACGAAGATGGGCTATCCTTCTGATAATCTCCAAACCGAGAACATAGATGAATTAAAGCCTTATCCAGCCATCTTATTGGATCAAACTCGGCCTGCAACCAGTATTAGCAGAACAGATTTTCAGAGCATCATACCCAGTTGAAGCATATGATCAGAATATAATCAGTATTATCTTTATAGCAAAGAGAGGAGTGCTGAGTAGAGTGTAATAGCAGAGACAAAGTGAAAATGTAGATAGAGTCCATGGTTTCAAAATACAGCAGAAAAAGGGAAAGACTCCTTTGAAATTACATGTCAAGCTTGGTCTGTTGATTCTTTTGCCGTCATTGGCAACTTTTTTCTGATATGAAGCAAAATATTAAAAAAAAAGTCCTCATTTCGCCTCTCTGTCTATATTGGTAGGAAAAGATAGATTTGAAATCAAAATCTGAAATTATAGATTTGAAAATCACATTTAAAAAAAAGTCCTCATTTCACCTCTCTATCTCATTGGCTAATCCTAGTCCTAAGCCTAACAAAAACAGAAGAATTTGTTTTAAACAAAATAGAATATTTAAGAGCGCACTGTCATTCCAAATATATGCTACTTGCCGTCTTACACCGCATCTCTTGACAGAAATGGAATTCTTATAATGATTGAGACATAATTCTAGCAATGGCAGTGGGCTGGCAATCATATAGATATGCATACAAGTCGTAGCACGATTTCAGGAGAGAGAATCATTACAGGCTGCTTAGTCAAAAGAAAAGAAAACAAAAAGAGGTAAGAAAGACCATTTAATCAGTAGTTACCTCCACTTCCATTTTGAAGGAAACCAAACGAGCCATTGCCACAGCTGCTGCTTCTTGGTCAAAACCAGCAATCAAGTCCTAAGCATTTCAAACTAGTGAGAAGTACGAAGCAATGCAGTCAAAATCGCGCTTTAAAACTTAAAAACTTACGGTTTTACGCTTCTAGGACACCAAAACGCTTTCGTTTCCATATAAAATCTTAAGTGTATAAAATCGGGACTAAAATGCGCTTTAAAGCTTAAAAGCTTACGCTTTTACGCTTCTGGTTCACTAAAACGCTTTACGCTTTTACGTTTCTAGTTCACTAAAAGAGTATTCTATTCGTGAAAATACTTATATTTTAAAGGTAAATCACATAAAATATGATATATTTGAGATTAAAAGATACATATCAGGTACTTGGGTGCATTCTTAGTTTCAATAGAGTAATCTAATTCACCAGCTATGCCCTTCCAAAATTCACTAGCATAGAGGGGAATGTAGCTTATTGTTAAGATATATGTTTATGAACTTATTGTTAAAATGTTATGAGTTTCTCAACTTTAGACATGAATTACAAGTATTTATTAACTTATCTAAACTATGTCCACTCATATTCTATCGTACTTAACACATTTTTCGTTATATTAAAGTATGCGTCAAAAACTTACGTTTTTACGCTTTAATTCTACGCTTTACGATTTTACCCATTTTCCGCTTCTAGGTAGAATCGTGCTTTTGACTGCATTGGTACGAAGACTTGAAGAAGAAAAAGAAGAAGGTTGTTCACCATTGACAGATGATATTGAGAAGTTTAGAAGTGGCATGTGTTTGAAGAGCCATTCAACGTCTTTATCCTACAAGCAACAAGCTTAGCCCAACCTAGTCCAAACATGTGTTTTCTTGACAATCTCTACCTCCTAGCCCAATGCGTATATTCAAAATCAAGTCCTTCAGAGGAAATATTAGAAAATACAATATTGTAACTGATCAAATATGGGTCATACAATCATGGAGCAGTTGAACTATCTACTTGCAAGATTGCAAGCATGAACACCAGCATTGCTACTTATCTGGATCAAGATAATACCGATTCCAAAGACTTCACTTCCATATTGTAACAACCAAGCCAATTTCGGAGAGTTCATTGAGATAGCAAGTGCAGGGGTTAAGAATTACTTTCGTACCAACTCAATAAGACATCAATTAGACTACCTGTAACAAATAACCTCTCAGTATGCTTTTCCAGATTGCTTCACGACTTATTGGAGGATTTATTTTGATTGGTATGAGAAAAGGCTCAAGTAACTTCATTGGCCCCAACAAAACCCAATGCCCTATCTGAAAATAGGCAAAAAAAATTTGGACATGCATGTAATCTCATCCACAGGGTCAATTCTGATGTGTCATTCAGCTATGGTGTTGCATCTGGTTCAACCTAACATATTCACTTTAACCATATTATTATGAGGATGGAGAAGTAAAATCTAATCCAGCCAGAAAAATGGCTGGATTTGTTACATCTCATACGATTGCAACAAACTAGTACTTCTTAGCAGATTCCAAGCTTACACCCTCGTCATTAGAAAAGCGGATAAGCAATGAATACTCTAGTCTCTACAAGGGAAGAAAATTATGTTTGTACATACTCCTCAAAGAAAAAATAATTGAGAGAGATTCAGCATGAAAATTTAAGAGAGTATCAGATTTACCTGTATACTTCCAGGTCCACTAACCCATCTCCTTGAGAGGGTTGTAGCACGAGCTCTCATTTGACCATTGGTGTGTTGGTAACTGTGGCACAAAGTCAATTATAATCAAGGATTATCACACCTGGACCACTAGGTATGCCAATCTCTCAAGAAACCAGAGGCTTAGAGGTAATACCAAGTCAAGAATTGAAAATAAAACTGATTGCTTGTATGTTGAACTGCAAGTTCTGGGCTCTCTTTCTTAACAATATCAAATATCAGACATAAAGTTGTAGATTTGTCCATGCCGCACATCTTCCATGCGCTAGTATTTCCCTGACCAATGACAGTGTCAGAGGACAACTGCCCTTTCTGCAGAAAGCACATTACAAGTAAAATTGATCAAGCAGATGATAAGTAGGAAAGAAAGAAAAACCATCCATATAATATAAGATGAATGTACCTTTCCAAGAGATGCACACGGGCCAATTATACCTTGAACTTTGATATCCTTGGAGCAGTTTATCTCAAAGATACCACTACATATAAGAACCAAAACGTAAGGAAAAGCTCCATTACATTCAACCTCAACAGCCACATATACATTATCATCAGAAGGACGTATCAGACAGGTATTTTGAGGCATGAAAAACAGCATGAGAATGGGATACTTCTTATGTGCTTTCAAGATCTACAAAATTAAACTAGATGATAACAGTTTACCACCTACCGCCATAAGTGAAAAACTATCTCACAAGTTCAAGATGAAGAAAGTTTCTTCGGAAAGTTAAATTTCTGTGCTCAAGCAGAATGTCAAGGAACAAATTACAGCCTCAGAGGGACCGATACATGATACCCTCCTGTCTTACTGGGATGGATATACCATGCAGACTCCCATTCAGATGTCACACCTACTATATTACTCTAACCTCTCTAGAACAAGGCATAGGTAGCTGCACTGTCAGACATGTTTGATGCTTATTCAGGCACCAAGCTATTAACTATTCATCTTGATTAACATAGGTGCATTATCTTCAGATCATTACAGGACTGACATTTTCAATTTCACGGAATAGGGGAAAAGTGCAGAGTTCTCCCTGATTTCACCACAATAATACAAAAGTTAAAACTTGATAAGATGATTTACTTTGTACAGAATTCTCGTCTCAGGATAAGCTTAAAGGTTCAGTATCATAACAAGTTTGATATTTTCACTATGCTTAGAAAGTTAAAGTTGAAGAGACTCATCTTAAATGAACAAATCTTCAAAAAAATATTTCATTGAGGTGGCAGAGCAAACCATGCTCCTTTCCTTTGTATCATCTGACAATATGAACTACCAGTTAAGTGCAGAAGGACAGAATATTGGCTTTGGTATCAGTTTACCCTGGCCATTTTTGGCCCTGATGCCAGAAATTTAAACTAGGCAGATGCCTCATTTTAACTATCCAAAAACCATAAACATGATTATAAAATCAAGGAGTATGAAATGTTTCTTCGCTATGCTTGACGAAGTCTTCATAGAGAACTAGTTTAACAAATCACAGGCACGTAAACAAGAGTAACAATAGCACATGGAGGATATCCAATAAAAATCAAGGGAAGTAAGGCACATCATCTTCAATCCTACAGGTCACAAGTAGAATTACAGCAAAACAAATCCAAAAACAGATATAACAACTCAATCAGTTAGAAAGAAGCATCCGTACTTTGCTGATAGCCCAAGGTCATTGTCGCCTGATTGGAAAACACGTCTAAGAGAATCCTTAAACACGGAATGGCCAAAGCTTTCTGCAAGCACCACTAGGCCACCAGTTCTTTCAACGGAAACTTTGAGCTCAGCAACTCCAACCTAACAAGATCAAGTAACAAGTAAAATAAAACACAACTTAAGTAGCTCTTGGTCATTTAAAAACTAAATATTAGTTTGTAAATTGCTACCACCACATAAATTTCCTACTAGACCAATCCGTTGAAGTTAAACTCCGCAAGGTGAAGTTTCAATGGGAAGAAAATATTGAATTTTCAGCCCAGCAATAGAATAAGTGAAAGTTGCCTCCTACATCGGATGGGACATTGATTAACAAAGAACAAGATACCAAAACACACATAACGGCAGTAAAAGGATATTCGCCACTAAATTGCTACTGAGAAATAATTGGTTCCAAAATAAAAGTTATTTCATCACAGTTTTATAATAATGAGTGCCGGGGAATCACATAAGTTTAGGGCACATAGTGTAAAACATATTTCAACCTTTGTATAGAATATAGTGTCATAGAGAAACTAAAATGAAAAAGAGACAAACTAAATGCCACCCAACCATCATAAAGCGAACCACGATTCCACAAAACTAGATGTTGGACATTAAAATTTGTTCATGACCTTGGTGAACAAGTAAAAAATTACCTGATCAAGGGCACAAGCAAAGAGATCCAGTACATGGCCTTGATGAACAAGTTGCTTTGCAAGTCCCTCATAGAATCTGACAGCTTTGTAATAATATGGTGCTGAATCTTTATCCAAGTCTTTGTGCGATCGAATTGGCTCAGAAAGATTCTTTGATACAATCTAGCAAACATAAAGACAGAATGAATCATCACAACAACAACAACAAAAAAAAGGGAGCTAAAACATCGAATGAGAAAGCTTAAGGTGAATTACAAACTAAATACATGAAGATGGCCATTGCCTAGAAGAGTTACAATTAGCAGGAACATATTTCAATAGGTTATGCAATGTGAGAATGAGTTGGTCAGGAAGCTCAGCGCCAAGATGACTTTGATTAGTTAAGATGACAAAATAAGGATCAGAGAAGGATTAGAAAATGGCTTACAGCCCCAGGACCCTCTGTAGATGGACCACCAACGAACGCCATAATTCTAGCTCCAGAACCAGGAACACAAGCTCCCAACAAACAAGCAGCTACACTAAGAGCAGTGCTGGTGCATCTGGTAGCCCTCTGATCAGTTGGTACTTGCCAGGGATCTTTCTGCAGCTCCTCTAGAACCTTTTTAGAACCCCCATTTGTGTGGTTCGTTGAAACGAAAAGGGGAAATGAAGAGATTAAAAATTTGCCATTGCCAGACACGAAACCAGGGTAAAAGCATAGAAACACGAGAAAGCGGGACAAAGAAGGGTGATGATGGCATTTACCGAATTAAGAGCGAAGCCACAATCGGAAGCGGGCAGAAGAAAGCGCGAAATGCTCTCGCAAGAGAGTCCGTCTCTGGAACCGGCAATGACACCGGCGGGAAGCTTTGGCTTTTTGAGGAAAAAGCTCATGTGCTCGAGCAGCTGTTCCTTGGACACGTCTTTGGAGCCCTTAAAGACGTAGGTCTTGGGAAGCTGGCCGAAACCCAACTCATGAACGTAAACCAATGTCCCGAAAGTGATGAGCCCAACGAGGGAATTGTCCGGCAGAAGGTCGATCGCCTGAGATAAGGCCGACCTAAGGAAAGCCATCTCCTCCTCGATGATACAAGTATCCACCACGAACATGAAGACGGGGGAAGAAGAAGAAGAAGAAGAAGAAGAAGAAGAAGGGTTTTCACCTGGATATTCATACTCGATGGTAGTGTACTGCGGGAAGAGCTCGGCGGGGAGATGCTCTTCGCTGATGGATTCGTATTGCGGGGGGAAGTGATTGCGTTGGAAACAGAAGGGGCAGATCCAGATCTTGGCCGCGAAATCGACGATTGAGAAAGGATTGAGCACGGAACAGCAGGTCCGGCAGCGGAGAGGAGCGTAGGGCAGAACTGGCAGGTTCGGGAAGGGCTTGATCGGAGTGTATATTGCGGAGATCGGAACAACACAGTTGCTCGCTTCCTGTTTGGTCCCCGGAAGCACATTCCATGGCATCCTTACACCGTCCTGAGTTTCCAGCTCCAAGAATTCCGCCATTTTTTCGCCAGTTGGGAGAATTCGTTCGTTCTTCTGCTTCTAAATTTCCCAAGCCTTCTTCTTGTTCTTCTGAATAATGTTCGAAATTCGATCTTACCAAAGATTGCTTCTGTTTCGAATTCGGACCCCAGACTGCGCTGCACAGAGATAGTGTGGCCTCCTGGACGCCGAATCAGTCCATGTCTTTGTTCTTGTTGTTGCAGTGAGTGGTCTCTTGAAATAGAAACTCGTAGTCGAAACTCCTGATATCCGACTATATTGGGAGTTGGTACTATATGATGATACACATTTTTTTTAAGAAAATTCTCAAAATACACACGTTATAAAAAAAATTCTCAAAATACACATGTTTGGGGATTACCGCTGTTGTCAACAGCAGTGAATGCATTTACCACGGCAGACCAAAGCGGTGAATGCATCACCGCGGTTGACGGGCGCGGTGAATGTCTGACGTAACACTGAAACTTCAAACAAACGTAACTTTGCGCTCGGTTATCCGATTGTAGCGAAAAAAATTTTATTCCATATAACTTTTCAAGATATTTCAATCTGCAACAAGACTTAATCTCAAAAAAATGTCGTTTGTTACCCCGAACGAGCAATTTTTCGATTTTGCCAAACTTTTGAAGACCATAACTTTTAGCTCCTCAATCCGAACGTCGTAAAAAAAAAATTGATTGCGCATAAATTTTTAAGAACTACAACTTTTACTATGAAAGAATTTTTTAAAAAAAAGAAATATTTTCAATTTTGCCAAACTTTGGAAGACCATAACTTTTAGCTCCTAAAAAAAATTTCGTTATAATCGGATAACCGAGCGCAAAGTTACGTTTGTTTGAAGTTTCAGTGTTACATCAGGCATTCACCACGGCCGTCAACCGTGGTGATGCATTCATCGCTTTGGTCTGCTGCGGTGAATGCATTCACTGCGGTTGACAACAGCGGTGATGCCCAAACATGTGTATTTTGGGAATTTTTTTTATAACTTGTGTATTTTGGGAATTTTTTTAAAAAACATGTGTATTATAGGATTTTTTCCTTGGGACTAAACGGTGACTACCAAGGGTAGAATAGGGATTTAAGGTTTGAACGCACTAAAATTTTATCTTTTTATTGGAATGAGGCAGAATGCCACATGTTAAGTAACAATCATAAGGAGGAAGCGAGCTAGAAGGCGAACCTAGCAAACAAAAGGAAGAGTATGTAACTACTATCCAACATCATAGCTACTCTGGTTAACTATCAGAACTTGTCTAGGAAAGCCAACTCCAAGGATATCCTCCCGAAGAAGTCTTTCAAGGTCCGTCGGAAGTTCATTTAATTCATACGTCGCAAAAAAAATGACGAGATTGTGATTCGAGAGACAGTCTGCGACTCTATTCCCTTCGCGATACGCATGAATTAATCGAACTATCCAACTCTTAGCCAAAACCTGCGAATAGCATTAAGCACAGTAGCATATGGGTGAACTGGGTCAGTTCTTCTGGTGATCAACTCGATTGCTAACTTGGAGTCAGTTTCGAGGATCAAGCATTGTGCTCCTTTCTTCCCAGCTAGCTAGAGCCCCTTGTAGATGCCTCATAACTCCGCCAAAATGGCAGTCCCTATCCCGATTTTGCAGTAAAACTCACTCATCCAGTCGTCGTCACTATCCCAGAGGCAACCTCCAGCTGTCATCATGCCTGGGTTCCCCTGATCGGCCCCATCTGTGTTGAGTTTGAGTCACCCTGTTGGTGGAGCGGTCCACTCAATAAGTTGTTCCTCCCTCGTAGGTGTTGTATGAGAATTTCGTGCAGTCACCGCAACCCTCCAAAGATTCATCCAATCTTTGGGTTTGGAAATAATGTAATTACTGAGGGTAGAATCGGAGGTCCTGACTGCTTTAAAGATGAACTCGTTCTTGTGTTTCCAGATGTACCAGCAAACAAGAGCAAAGAAACTCGACCAAGCTCCTGTCTCTTGTGTGAAAATGCCATTTTCTGTGTTTTCCTTCAGCCAGGTATCTTGCCCAGTTCATAAGAAAAGAGATTGCTCCTACTGTGGGACAAGTTTCTCCCAAACCATCTAGCTCCTGTAGTAGTCCCAGGCAATGGACAATAGATTCCGTAGCGTTCTCACAAAGGGGGAAAGTATCACTGGCTGTTAGATGCCTGAATTTCCGAATGTCATTGGCCATAATTCTCCCTTTAGATGTGTCCATATGAACAATCTGACTCGTTACGGGGTTTGCAGATGCCAAATCTTCAGTCGAGATCGGATCAAGTATGACTTATCTGATCTGGTTCTGTACTTCTGTAAAGAGAAAGTAGTGAATCTCCTCCATCTTCCAGCCCGTTCTATTGTCCGAATACTCGGCTACTTTCTTCTGTTGAAGCTCCAGTGGGACGTCGTTGACTGTTAGATTGATCAAAGGTTCCTGCAAAAGCCAAGAGTCTAGCAAAAAATTAGTCATTTTACCGTTCTTAACATTCCTAACATCACCTTTTTGGATGACACTAGCAGTTTGGGAGAAACTTTTCCAGACATGTGAACTTCCCTTAACATTTGCTAGCAATGGAAGTCCCTCACTATTACGACCATATTTGCTCCGCATGACTTTGGTCCATAGTGATTGATCTCTAGTAACTAGCTTCCAAGCACCCTTTGGTAGCATTGCTTGGTTAGCCTGTCTAGTTGTTCAGATACCTACTCCTCCTTGGTATCGAGGAAGAGTAATGTGATCCCATGCTACTGAGTAAATCTTTGATTTCCCATCATCTTCTCCCCATATGAACCATTTGTTGATTTTGTTCAAAGTCTTGCAAACATCTATTGGAAGCAGTTTAGAGAACATAGGATAAATAGCAATATTAGAAGTACCATCATTATAAGAATATTCTTCCCTCGCATTTAGGGCTGCAAACGAGTCGAGTCAAGTCGAGTTTTTGCTTAACTTGAGCTCGGCTCGTTTATAAAATTTCTAGCTCGAACTCGAATTTTGATAATCCAGCTCGAGCTCGCCTTGAATAAAAATAATCTAGATAGAGCTCTACTCGGTAGAGCTCGATAGATGCGCATTAACACAACTTGTCAAGCTGAGTACAAGCTCGGGTCAAAAGGAGCTCGATTTGAAATCATTCTTACGGAAAAAATGTGTAAACATGAGAATATAAATGATAAAAAGAACATTAGAAACTAAAAATAACATCTAACTTCCATACACATTCATATTAACAAGATAATATTCTTGTTAAGAAGAGTAATTAAACCTTCCACAAGCTCTAACCAAGGCAGCTCGCGAACTTAACTCAACAAGCCGCCGAGTCAAGCTAGCTCACGAGCTTATCAAGCTGAGCATGGTCTAGCTCAAGCTTAGCTCGTTTACTAACGAGTTGGCTCGTTAGCTGGCTTGTTAAATAACGAGTCGAGTGTCGAACAAGTTGTTTTTCGATTCGAACGAGTTGCTCGCGGGTGGTTTGGCTCATTGGTAGCCCTACCCACAACATACCCACCTCCTACAACACTACAATAGTGGTGAGACGATGTTGCACCACCATGATAGCCATAACTCCCTCCACCCGCACCGACCTCCTCATTGTGAACATACACCTCTGCAAGTCCGAGCTTGTTTCAACGAGTAAGTCCAACATAATGTTAATCTCATCATTGTCATACATGGTAACTACTTCGTACACCACATCGCTTCCATTGGTGTTTGGATACATTCTGGTAATTTTACAAACTCACATTTGCCCCATGCAAATCCGTTCGACACAAATACCATAGAGTTCATGCATATGAATCTGCTCTCAATCTTCAGGCTAGTGGATTCACCACCTTCACAATCTATCCCGATTTAGTAGTTCATCATCAGACCATTCCACCAAAAAAGTAGTTGGAAATTTTTGGATTTTCTACCTATATATACAATATAAAATAACTAAATATACATATAATTTAACATATAATCTAAATTCAGCAAGAGTAATATAACATATAGACTACTTAAACACCAGTATATCCTAAGATCTACTTGAATCCAATAATTAGCATAATTTGTACAACTTCGTTCCTAAACACAAGCATATTAAACACCAAAGCATAACTACTTAAACACAAGCATATTAAAAAACTTTGTCCTTACCTTCTGAGGTGAGGTTGAGGGCTTGAGGCAATGGAGATGAGTTGTGGGATAGATATGAAAGTTTGAATGCTGGAGAAGAGGAAATGAGGGTGGATAGAAATGGATGGTAGGGGACAATTATTTAATGGGAGCAAATTGTACATTGAACGCTTTTAGGCCTCACCGATATGTACTTAATTGTTGTAAAAAAAACGATCAAAGTATGGATCATTCAAAGCTAAAGCGATAAGCTCATTGCCGGTCCACCCAAAGTTGTTGGCCCCTAACTCTATCCTGGTGACATGTCGGGTTGAAAGGTGTTGTACGGAGGGTACTTTGATCACTTCAGTCTAAAGCGAGTTAAGTGGATCACTGGTGTCAAAAGTGATGAAAGATTGATCGATTAACATCCAAGTAATGAAGGTTTCATCGATTTACACTTGCGCAATGATATAATTTATCTCTTCTGCCCTTCAGCGATTTACTGTTCATCGCTTCACCTAACATCAATCAAGTGTCCGACAATGGTTGATTGTTTTTCTCAATTCTAATGAAAGGGCAAATTGCTTTTGTCTAAAAAGATGAATCCAAAACATGTGTATATTGAAATTTTCATCAATCCAATACACATATTGAAATTTTTGGGTTAATTGCATGATTGGTCACCGAGATTACAAAAAACGTTCATGTTTGGTCACTGAAAATATTTAAATCCAATTTTAGTCACTCAAATCAGTTAAATGGTTCAAGTTTGGTCACTCTCCGTCCAACTCCGTTAAATTTTTCTGATGTGGCAGTCAACCCTCAAAGTTGACCGTTAACTCAGTGACGTGGCAATTAAAAAATAATAAATAAAATAAATTTTAATTTTCTACCATTTCTAACTATTTTCACAATACACTAAAATAAAAAAAATACAAACTGAAAAGGGTGCTTCCTCTGCCGATACATCCCTTCTCCACAACAGAACCAACTCCAATTCTCATCCCTAGCTCCGCCTGCTGCCGCCGACCCTGCCGCTCCCCGGCCATAATCACCTGCACCTCCTCCACCCTTGACCTCGCCCCTTCCTCCAGCTCCATACCTGAGCGAGTCAGGTATGAAGCTCCATACTCGCCCGGCCGATCCAATTCATCAGGCTCGGTAATAGGATCTTGAATCCACCCCATGAGTTGAAGCATATCACGAACAAGATGTTGTGGCAGGACTCGTCCCTCAAGATCCCCGACTACTCGGGTTCGTCGAGGACCGACCCGGCCGCGGAGGAGAAGAATTCGTAGAGGCGGTGGTAGTCGCTCTGGAAGAGCGCCGCCGGGAGACGGACGGTGTGGAGGGTGGCCTCCTTGATTTCCTTCGGCAGCCCGACGGAGAGGATCTGGGCAAGGTTGAACAGGACCCACTTCGAGATCAGCGTCGGCGAGTCTTTCCCCAAGGGAGTGTCGACCGGCCTCACGCCGAAGAAGGCCCGACCGGCGAGAGGAAATTGAAAGCAGCCTGCTCGCTCGGGTCGGCGAAATTGGCTTTCCCTTTCGTCGCCAGATCGTACTCCGGCACTTGAAAGAGCTCACTAAGTGAGGAATTGAACTCGCGAATCACGTAATCGCGACGGGATTTGATCAAATTGAAAAGCAATTGCTTGAGCTTGGTGTGATTGGATTCGAACTGGTTGAAGTAGGACAGGATACGGGTGTAAATTGAAGTGCACTGGGAAGCTCTTGCTGTCGAGCAGGATGATGATGTGAGAGTTGGTGGCGATGAAAGGGCTTGGGGGCATGTTGACTCAGTAGACCTCCACACCTCCTCCACGCTCGTCTGGAGTTGGAAGAAGGGGTAGGGAAGGGATGTAGTGGCAGGTGAAGTGCCCTTTTCAATGGGTAATTAAATAATTATAATATTATTTATTTATTTATTTTAGTGTATTGTGAAAATGAGTTAGAAATGGTAGAAGATTAAAATTTATTTTATTTATTATTTTTTAATTGTCACGTCACTGAGTTAATGGTCAACTTTGAGGGTTGACTGCCACATCAGACAAATTTAACGGAGTTGGACGGAGAGTGACCAAACTTGAACCATTTAACTGATTTGAGTGACCAAAATTGGATTTAAATATTTTCAGTCACCAAACATGAACATTTTTTGTAATCTCAGTGATCAACCATGCAATTAACCCGAAATTTTTTTATAGAAAGTTTTTTTTTAGATTTTTTTTTTTAAGAATGAGTATAATTAAAAAAAAGGGTAAATACAATTTAATATCCAAAACTTTTATTTTAAATAATATAATAGCCAAACCTTTTCGAAAACAATCTAATATCCAAATTCTCAACTTTCCGTTCGTTTGACCGTTAGTTGACACTTCAAAAAAGCTTTGTTTAGGGGAAATTGTCACAATACAACTTTGTTTTCTTGTTTTGGCATTGCAGATGATTGAATATTTAGATATTCTATACCATCATGGTAGAGTCATGGACTTCTCGGGTTTGGAACTACGATATGTTGGTGGTTTTTCAGAGAAGATATCGATGGATATTGATGAAGTGTCGTACTTCGAACTTTTTTGAAGTGTCAACTAACGGTCAAACAGACAGAAAGTTGACGATTTGGATATTAAATTATTTTCGAAAAGGTTTGACTATTATATTGTTGAAAATGAAAGGTTTGGATATTAAATTGTATTTACCCTAAAAAAAAGTCTAGCAATTTGGAGTTGTTCTTATAATCAATGCTGTCAAAGCCGAGCCGGAGTATGACCCGGTAACGTGAACGGCTCGGTCATTAGTGGTCCAGCCGGCATTAGACCGTTTAAAAACCGTTTGAGAACCGGTACCTAATAAACAGTCATCTGTATAAATAGTAGACACTTCTTAATCATGGTAAACCACCACAGCAGTCATCGGTATCTAATCGATTAATCCCCCAGCAGTCCATTTCGTAAGCAAACTAGCTGCCCCTATCAGCAAATCTCAAAATCTACGCTAATCACGTCAAGATCAGACAAACGACTACTAGATCCACCACTAATCAAATACCCAGTAAACCAATCGCCACCGACAGCCCAATAATACCCACACTGGAGAAATGCTAACATAGAAATCCCCAGAACCAATGGAAAGAGTGAAGAAGAAGAAGGGAGAAGAATTACCCCGCTGTCGGATGGCGCGCTGCTTGCGGCGACGGGACGGAAGCGCTAGGGCGATGGTTGACGGCGGCAGGGTGGTGCCGCTCTACCTCTGTCGTCTATTCTACTTCTAGGTCGAAGATGAAGAAATAAAATGAAAGTTAGGGTTTTGTTTGGCTACCCCATTCCACGATTGGCCTTTTTTTTATAGGGTAAACCAAACGACCGAACCGCGCAACCGGCTTGAGCGGCTCGAGCGGCTAACCGCTTCGGCCGCTCGCCGGCCGCTGTATAAAACCGTGGCGGTTAAATAGCTGATCCGAGCCGGTTTTACGGCCGGGTGGCGGCTTTGGCGGTCCGGCCGGCCGGCTCGGTTCGGCTTTGACAGCACTGCTTATAATGCATCCCCGGCGACCCGACACCTCTCCTTCTTCCACTTCTCGACTTCCATCTGCACACGGAAGCTTTCCCAAAGGCCGATTCCCTCTCTTTTCTCTTCCATTTATTCCTCTCTTTCATGCTTCAATTCACCGACCATCAATTCTCCTCTTTTCTCTCCCGTTCGGAAGATACTGAGAACCCTAATTTCACTTTATCTAGCTGCCACCGGAGCTTTTCGCGTGAATTTTTTTTTTTTTTTACGGATCAACCCACAACCAATACTTTTTCCCATTGTTCCACCCGTCGAGTCGGCGATAAATCTGTGGACCTGCCCACTTTATCGCTTGGGTAAAAAACGAGAGATGTACGATTGCGTTATGGATGGAATGACATTGACGGCAGTTACTGGGAGTGTGCTGCCCACCACCGTGCAATTGGAGTCGAAGAAGAGAGGTTTCGTGAACGGCGAGAACAACAATACACACCAGAGCCGACGATCGCAGTCTCCAGCTTCGTTTCCGAAGCTATCTCTTAGCAAACCGTCGTGGCTTGTTACCACTGAGGCAGGCCAAATCCTCGAACCCTTTCTCTTTTGGCTTTCTCTTCTCTTCTCTGCTCTCTCCGACTCTGTTTTTTCTTTCTTTCTCTGACTAGCCTACCGTTTGATGCAGTCGAATGTGCGGAAGGCAGCGAGGAAGAAAGCAGATCCACCATGTATCATCTGCAAAGGGAGCGGGAGGGTTGATTGCCACGATTGCTCTGGATCAGGTGAGGCGGCTCCTCTTTCTGTTTCTTTGGTTTCAGAACCTGTTATCGGTTCGGTTAGCGTTTTGTTTGGTGGTTAACTACCAAGCAAATCATCTAACTAAAATCAAATCACTAAGTTAAAGCACTTTTCAAGAAAAAAAAGTTGGGTGTTTGGTTGAAAATTTATTAAAAGTGATTTTTAATATAAAAGGTTGTATAAAATGACTATAAAGGACTTATAATATAAATTATGAATAATATTCTAAACAATTAAATGTAGTCAAAATGAATTTTGTTAGACTTCTTTTATGTTAAATAATATAATTTTATACTTTATTTTATTTTACTTATTTACTGAAATAAAATTAAAATATGGTAAGAATAACCTTATATTTTCAAAACAGTTTTTCGCAGAAGCTTTTGCTTTTATGTTATACAAAGTGCTTTTCGGCTTTTCAAAAGCCGAACTTTTAGAAGTGTTTGGCCCTCCTTCAGCTTTTGAAGCCAAAAAACACTTCTAAAAGTCAGGCCGAACATAGGCATTATCGGTTATCGATTAACTATTAATCATTATTATCGATCGATTGTCAGTTAAAACTGATAATAGACTAACTGTTAAAAATGGGGGTGGAAAGAAAATCTACGCTCAAGCAGATGCTATTTCAATTTTCAAGTCCAATCCGGCATGGTTGTTAGCACCACCGTAGCCGGATTCCTTCGAGTAACAATCATGTGAGATGGACAACTTTAACCCAACTGCCCAAGAGTGTTATATAGTGCAATTCCTTTTCAACTGAGTGATGATCAATTCCGTCACCAATCCAAAATCATGTTCGATGGTTTTGCAGGGAGGACCAACTGTGTTCACCTTGTGATGCTGCCAAGAGGAGAATGGCCAAGATGGTAATGTACCATTACCACAACCATATTGAACGCAACTTTCAACAGCTCTTAACCTTGTAGTTACTGGGTTGGATGCATATGCAGGTGCAAGACATGTGGCGGCAGCGGCCTTGGCTATTGCTCTCGATGCCTCGGGACGGGAGAGTACAGATATGTCATGGGCTTCCACTTCATGAACCGGGATGACCAACATGATGGCGTCCCTTGATCAGATCACCAGTGCCATCGTTATCGAACTACTCCAAACTTGCCTTGTGGCCGTTAGGAGACTACAGAAGCTGCAGATTGAGATGTGATCAAAGAGCATTATGTAGAGCAGCATTATACTTGCTACGATTCATTGAGGGTGGCGGATTAACTTCAAATTTAGTGCACATACAAACTGCATAGACGTCTCAGCCTTGCCTTCAATTCCACAATGTTCCACCCAAGAATAATACATCTCGAATCTCAAAGGCAAAACATGTATATACATACCCGCTTGAAGCTCTAAAACTAACGAGATAAAAGTCCAGAAGATGTGTGTACTACAAACAAATTACCATAAGCAGGTCATGTAAGGTTTAATGTTAACATACTAGGCGAGCCTTATCATGGACTAAACAAAAAAAAATTCACGCCCCATCATTTTGATTGATAAATGATACAAGCTAAGAACCTTTGGTCGGATCATCTACAGGTAGATCATCTTCATCATGGTAGATGTTTTCTGCCATTTGCCATATCTGAAGGATGTTATCTTCAGCAACGCTTGCCACAACCCAGTCCTCACAAGGATTCCAGGAGAAATCGGATATTTTACTGGTGTGCCCACCATGAATGAAGAGCAACTCCGGTGGACCATCTTCAGCATCTTCAGGTGTCTGCTCCTCATCAATCCTGCAACAACACACCCGCGATGTCAAACCTCATCATATAAGCACATGATGGTAAGATCACTGCATAACAAAAGGGAAGAACATGAACTTGGGTTTCAGGATAAGGACGGGCCAGGGACTAATAATATTGCCTATAAGTCCTGCAATCTAAGGTCGTTTGGAAGTTGCGATAGTTTTGTTGAGATTGTCATTATGCATGTATTGTTTACAATGCATCGTTTTTTTGTTTTTTTAGCAGAAACAATACATGGATTGTTTCTGTGATGTGACAAAAACTATCACTCATTTTGAGTGATTGTTATATCTCAACTTTTAGTTGTGATTGTTGAGATAGTTGAGTTGAGATTGTTTTGTCTCAGCTTTTAGCTGATGCGACATACACAATCACACAGACCAAACGTTGTATTCTACAATGCATCAAATTCGACAATACATGTATAATATTATACATGCATTCTCAACAATACATCTATTTAACAATCGCAACTTCCAAACGACCCCTAAAGGTTTGAGATCCAGCAGTCTCTTGCACTCATCAAAATGTACAATGAAGAAAAGAATTCATACTTGGGACTAAAACGTATGGAGAACCTTCTGCATTGTTGATTTCTGAGTTCTTGTAAGATACAAATGTAACTGATGAAACAAGAACCCTACTTCTCTAAGCAACGTGCATGCAATCATTTGTAAATTCAGTCAAAAGATGTTGGCATACTGATCTTGTGCTCGGAAGCATTAGGTTATCTTGCTATTTCATTTATCACGGGTGGGAAGGATGATAATGATTGCAGCAGCCTCGGTTTTACTTTTACTTTTGTACTCAAATATGATTCTTTCTCTATATGTTCCAAACTCTCAGTGTGACATCTTAAAGCAACATTTGTACTCAGGTAATTGCATTCAATCCAAAGCATAGGAGCATGTTTCAGGAATCCGTAAAGTATCTACTTCAAGATCCTTCTTTCACAACTTTCAAATTCAACAGTTTGAAATGTTGACAAAAAAAATTCTGTTCCCCAGAAATCACATTGAGCATAATGCTTTAAAACTTCACAAAGGTGTAATGTAAATTATGGCTTGCTTCCGGATATGTCAGATACAAGAAAGAGTGCAAGTGCAAATCCCAGGTGAAGTTGAATGAATAAATGTCTATCCTGGTTTATTCTTATTCCTTAAAAATCCATTTATAGTTTCACAAAGTATATCTTTATATTATTATTCTTTTTTTTTTTTTTTTGTATCAAGAAGTGAGAAAGTTACCTAAACTTGATGTTAGTCATAGAAATATAGAAACCTTCAAGCGAAAAAACTCAGAAAAACAATACTGAAGAGAATTAACCCACCTGCTAAGATCCCAAACCATGAGCCTCCTTCCAAGGCAACAAGAAGCTAAGATTGTCTCATTCTTAGGATTCCAGCCTACTTGGAAAACCTCTTCCCTGTCAAAGCAAAATCATATATAAGAATGCAGGAAGATGAATCTCAGAGCATATGTACCACATCTACAGCATCCAATTTATAAAATCGCATTCACATGAGAAAAGCAATAATGTTGAGAGAAACATACTTGTGACAATCAAATGTATGAAGTGCAGTATTGATCTTGCGCAAGTCAAATAATTTGACCGTCTTATCGGTGGACCCAGTCGCCACAACCCATTCATTGAAAGGATTGAAAGCCAAGCAGTTAACCTGCCAGGAAATCACAATAACAAACATCTCAATTCAATAACATAGTAAACAATACCCTTAATATGAAGCAACAGACAAAGACAATATGAGAATTATCATTTATGACCAACCTTCGTAAAAATGCTAACTTTAAGCAAGGAACTTAGTGAAGTGCCAGATCTCTCAAGCAGTGTGAAGAAACCCATCCTTTTAATGGGACCAATAAGTAATACTGGAATTGGGACGTTACCTCACTTTGATGAGCAACTACAGATTGGACAGGCTTGGTTACTGCTGGAGTTCGAAGATCCCAAATAAGCAAGTATTGATCATCCCCCACAGAACCAAATAAGTATTCATGCCTCAGATGCCATGCCACATCTTCCACAACGCCTTCATGCACCTAGTCAAATTAACAGAGCTAAATGAATGTTTAAAGGAAATTGAGAAGGAAATAGACGAAGACATTCAAACACTCCAGGACATACAGGGAGATTTCAATAAGTGTGGCACTCTACAATTCATCCGCCCTAATATTTCCTACAGTGACTGCATTGAAGTTGGAAAGAAACAGTAAGCAACAGTGAAGAGGTTTAAGACCTTGAAAATCTGGGTGGCATCAAGAGACTTATTTTTAGGAGCAGCATTGATGTCCCACAAGCAAATCTGGGCATCATCAGAACCACTAAGCAAATGACCTTCCTTGAACTTACTCCAGGAGAGACCATAACCTTCAGTGCTGTGGCCTCTCAACCTCAAATCAGGACTGCAAGCGCCATCCAGAGGAGGTTTAGAAGGGTGTTTGCTGTAGTCAAACACATAGACTTCGGCGCTGACGGTCTTGGTGGCAATTATAAAAGGGTTTTGAGGCATATAACGAGCCCTGTTAACCTCTCCATCGTGATTAATCTGCTGAATGATTTGAACCTGCAAGTTGGAAAATGAGAAAACCGCAAAAGCATAAGAGACAAAGGAAGCAGAGGCAGAGCCCGGAAATAAAAAGGAAGGTACCTTGCCGTTGGCAGCTCCAAATCCGCCGGAGTCGGAGCGGTCGTCGTCGTAGTGGCGGGCGTCATTCTCGGCATCGTCTAAAGGAAGCTGAACTTGAGCGAGCATGAGATAATTAGGCTCGTTCTCGGAGGTGTGGGTGCCAAGGATCATCTTCTGGACGGAGTAGTCCTTACCGGGAGGCTCATCGCGGTCTGGCAACCACTCCACAGTAAGCGACGGCCACTCGAGGGCGTGAGTGATGACTAGGTCGTAGAGGAAAGGAGTGTTCTTCTTCCAAATCTTGTACTCCTCGTTAATCAGCCTTTCCTCGATCTCTCCCCTCATTTCGTCCTCATCTTTCCCCATTGGCTCCTTCACCTTCACCTTCACTTCAGATTTCGCAAACGGCACGCCTGAATTGCCCTTGCCCACTGCGCCGGTCAATGGATACGGATTCCGCCGATGGTTAGGGTTTCTGTTTACGCTTTCAGTCAGTCGTTGTCGTTCAGTGACGTCGTGTTAATTGGGGATTTCGGAACTTTGGGGGAAAGGAATGGACTAATTAATTTAACAAAAAGGAAAAAGGGAAAATGGGTGGGAATTGGGAAACCGGAGGTCACATTCCCGCCAATACGCAAAATAGAAACTAGTTCTCCCCCCACTATGACAAAAAAAAAAAAAAAAAACTAGTTCTCCCCCAAAATATTATTTTTCAATGATGTTATCTATCAATTTGATCATTTTTCTCCCTCACACATCCGGAATTTCATTCGGTAGCTAAGCAAATCAAATTAAATAAATAAATTACGTTGGTCAACAAGTAGGGGTGTATATAGATTGGGTGGTCCGGGTTTAGATATTTTAATCACCAAATCCATATACTACATTTTGGGAAATATTAAACCCAAACCCACTCAAAAAAATTTAAACCCTACGGTTTGTTTCTAATTGGTTGGATCGGGTTGACAATAATTCTAAGTAAAAACCCAACCCAACACAAAATATGTAATTTATTCTACACCATAAAAATACTTTATAACTAATTAAAAATTCAAACGAATAAACCAAGGTGAAAGGTATCAAAATTCAAAAATGTTGTTTGAATTTTAATAAAATTTGATTTACTTCGACTTATATCTAGTTTTTTCACGATATTTGTTGAAATAGGCTAAAAATGTTATAAATGAACGCATCCATAATATGTTATTCTATTAAAATTGTACACAAGAAAAAGGATTACGTGAATCATAGCTGTATTAAATTTATGTCTAAACTTTAAGCCGAAGAATGCATTAGATTAGGGAGATCATGAGAGGAAAACATGGCGAAATATCTTAATTTTCTCATAACTATGGCTATATACGACATAAATATTTTTTGAATACAAACTCATACCAATAATTTGCACACGGGTTGGGTCGGGTTCTACGGGTTGTGTAATCCAAAATCCCAACGCAACCCAAAAGAGGCGGGTTGTACAAAAGAAACCCTCACCCAACCCAAAACCTTCATTTTAGCGATAGATACGGGTGAGTTGAATCGGGTTGGACAGGTGGGTCGGTTTACGGGTGTGTTTGTTCACCCCTATCAACAAGATGTTGAACCAATGAAGAGAAAGTCTTTTTTTACTACGATATGAGCAATTTTGTTGTACCTTTTAGGCTTAGGACAAATTCATGAATGAGCATTCACCATTTTCAGAGTGAAAATCATGGGCCGAGCCCCTGACTGGTAGACAAAATCAAAGTAGTGAACTCCTGCAAAAACAACAAACACCACAAAATGCCAAATAAAAACAAAGAGTCACCTCCAAAGCTGAAAGGAAAGCACCAACACCCCATTGTAACCCCTAGTAACAGCGTTACATGCAAAATTAACAAACAATCGGTCCCAAACAGGGCAATTTACATGTGGCGAGATCCCAATGATCAATTAACATGTGGCGCAATCGAGAAAATACTTATGATCCTCGAGAAAGGCCATGTCATTTTGGTGCTTGAAGGCCCCAAGTGGTTACAAGGCTGGTGGAGATGGATCTAAGACTAACCAAACGAAACAAAGCTGGCTCCTGCAAAACAAACACACAATAGCCCCTACCAAAGCTACCCAAGAAACTAGCAAAAAAGACCTGCAGCCCTTAAGGCCCACTAGAAGTTATCAACATGTGCCGAGCCAAGATGGCCTATAGACCAAATGGGCCTTTCTGCAGAACATACCCCACTTCTCCACTTACCCACCACCGCCATATTGTTTGCGTAGGGATAAGGATATAACTAGTTTCTTTAGTGGTAAGAATGTCAAGTGCCCGCACCAAGCTCCACCGCTTCTTCAAGTCTCTCCACCTGGAAACAGTAAATTGAAGGGCATAGGTTTGTCTAGGTTGAAGCTGATGATGACAACAACGACTCCTACAACATAATTTCGGTATAGGAAAGGTGAAGCTCAAATATATAAATCTTGCATCAATCTAGCCAAATAAAAATAGAGTGGAGACAGTTGGTGATTTGCGGCACATTAGCCTTTGTAATGTCTCTTATAAGACGCTTGTGAAGTGCTTGCAAATAGGTTGAAGCTGTTGATGCCTAACTGTATCAAGCATAACTAGACGAGTTTTGTTCTAGGTCGCCACATTCAG